AACCACTATTTACGTTTATTTCTTTCTTTTATGTATTAGACTGGACTGGGAAGGTTTGCAGATCTAAGGAACGAGGAGCATTATTACTAGTGTATTGCCATCACCACTGCAGGACCTCTTGCCCTTGCCCCCCCCCACCGTGGTTTTGAGGGTAGAATCTGGAAGCCTTACTATAACCCGGTTCCTGACCATGCTGCCTCCCTGCAGCTGTCCTGGTCCGGCTTCTCACCGTCCCAACCTGCCCCAGGCCTCTGTGTTTGCGGCTCGGTCTGCCGGAAGCTCTTCCCCTTGGTAGCCCTTGGCTCCGTCCCTCACTTCCTTCAGTGTCTGCTCTCTTCTCGGCACTGTCTTTCGTGAATATCCACAGTAGCATGGCCTGCCACTCTGTTGTTGCCTTACCTGTATGTCCCCTGCATGGCACTTTCCATGGCCTGATACTACATTTCCCTTGATTTGTCAGTGGCCTGCCTGCCCCTGAATGCAGGCTCCAAGGTGGCAGCGGCTTTGTGCCCTTTGCTGCTAAGCCCATGTTGTTGGGAGCAGTGCCCTTGGCACTCAACAGACACAGACTAAATACTTGATGAATTCATGGGAGGGTGAATTCTCCAGGTTCCCTCTTGTGGGTGACTCTGTACAAGATGGCATTTGCTCTCCAGGTGTCCTGCTGCCTTCAGAAGACAGAGAGTGATGGCTGGTTTTGTCACAGCTCAACTCAGTGGTGCACCCTGCACCTGCCACCCAGTTGACAATCAGATGTGTTGGGAACAGAATTACAACAGGATGGCCACACAGCCGGCTGCTGTTACCCATCCCTGCCGGCTGTCTCCCAGAACAGTCATCTGCTGTGTAGGGGGAGAAACGGACATGAAAAGCCCAGGAAGGCTGTCAGGAAGCAGTGTGGAATTTCTAGTTTGTAAACACTGGGACTTTGGCATACTTAGAACCATTTTGGTGATAAAAATGGAGGTAAGAGCCACCTGATTAAGTTCCTTTTGAGAATAAACTGGCATGCCAGACATTTACACTGGCTGAATCAGTGTTGGTGGAAGCTGTGTTTTTAATCCATGTGCCTAAAACAGTGTCCCCCATGCCTGTCTCTTGCTGAGGCTTGTGTTGCAGATGAGCCGTGTCTGACTTCTGAGCCCTACATCGACTGCTCATTCTAACTCTCCAACCCTATTTCCTGCCCTTACCTGGTGAGTCCCCCTTGACTCAGGCTGGTTCCTCCCTGTTGTCCCAGCTGCGGGCCATTGGTGCTCCTTAAAATACCCTGCGGTGGGTGGGCCTGGCCTGATGGCTCACAGCTGTAATCCCAGCACTTTGGGAAGCTGAGGAGGGTGGATCATGAGGTCAGAAGTTCGAGACCAGCATGGCCAATATGGTGAAACCTCATCTCTGCTATGCCTGTAGTCCCAGCTACTTGGGAGGCTGAGGCAGAACCTGACGGCGGAGATTGCAGTGAGACCAGATTGTGCCCCTGTACCGCAACCTGAGTGACAGAGAGAGACTCCGCCTCAAAAAGAACAAAAAAAATGCCCTGCAGTGTCATTGCTGACCCGTGCCTCCTGGGGCTTTCCCAGTCCGGCTGTTCTGTTTTTCCTAAGCCACATAGCTTGCTTCTGAATTAGTATGTGATATTATGGGACACTCATATGTTATATAGCTTGGTTTAGTTTTTACAGAAAGATGAAAGACTCTGAAAAGGGATCTTGGAGTTGTTCTTGTACATCTTTTATATCTCCTAAGCCTGTGATGGGCGTTTGTCCCAAATGGGAAAGAAGAAAACAAAAAGCCACCCAGGATGCAGTTGGGCAACTGTTGGTCTTAGCATGTGGCGGTCACCCAGGCTAAGAGTGTGGGGCACGTGAGGGCCACTGAACTAAGACTGTTTGATTGTCTGGATCAAGCTGCTGAGTAGAGCAGTGGGTTGTATAGTGTCTGGCATGCAGGAAGCAAGGGCTGTGCATTTGTTAATCCAGAGCTTGTATGAAAATTGAAAGAATTAGGAGGAGGAAGTTGAGGTTTATACTAGAATAATTATCTCTTCATTTAGAGAAGGCTCTTACAGTTCCTTTTATCCAATGGTACACCAAAAAGCAAAAAAAGTCCTCTGAGAACTGAGTGAGAAGCCACAGGCTTATAGGACTGAAGTTCGGTGTTGAAATTGCTTAGGGAACCCTTTTCAATTGCCTTTTTTTTTCTCCAAAGAGAACAGAGTAATTTACATCTCCCTGGTGTGGTTTCCATTAGAATGGAAGCTCTTTGGCCGGTGTGCCAGGACCATTCATCACCGTGTCCCTGGTACTCAGATCCCAGCGCTGGCAAAGCTGTGCTGATGCAGGCTGGCTGCAGGGGTGGGTGGCTGGCTCCTGCGCTTGGTCCTGGAGATGGGCGAGAAGAGATGAGTCCACCAAATGGTTCTTGCCCTTCTCCCCAGCCTGATCTCTGGACATGGCTGTGTTGTGACACAGGCCGTGCTGTCCTTGTGGCTGATCTTGATCGATTCTCCTCCGCTCCCTGTGCTGGAGCTAGACACCAGTTTTTTTTCTTTTTTTTTTTAAGTTCCACAGGTGATTTTGATGTGCGAGCCGGGTTGAAAGTCACAGCTGGACGGCGTTGGAAGGGAAATGGAGGTCACCTTAGGCCAGCTGGTTCACATGGAAATCCACAAAACCAGCGTGGCTTTGGGGATGTATAATTCCCTTACTCTGTTGGGCCCACACAACTCAGCAGTTGAAGTTTGCTTTTTTTCTCCTGCATTTTCCTCTCCTAATTTGGGCTGCCTTCACATAGAGCTTTTGGAAGCAAATGAGAATTCAGACTCATCGGGCACATTTTCATTACACCTGGCAGAATATGTTAAGGTGTTATGTTTTTTTAAAAAAATGTAGCCACAAACTATAGGTGGTCTCCAGCTGCACACATTTAGCAAGCCCCCACTCAGCTCCACACCTGACCCATTTTTCGGGCCTTCTTGGGTTCACCCGAGGCACAGTCAGGAGCACCTTAGACGCTGAGTTCAGAAATGGAGAAGGAATATACAGTGAAAAAACAGTCAAGCTCAGGTGAGCAGTGGCCAGATGGCTTCTCCATTTAACTCTCTTTCTGGATGCTTCTGGAAACTGCCATCCAATTTTGGTCATTTTTTGGCTGTATAATAATTCAAACGGTGCTTTGTGAGTAAGTTACCTTTTAAAAGTTATGTGTTTTAGCATCTCTAGGAAGATCAAGAAATTATTTTCCTTTTACACCTCAGGGTGAAATAATTTAATTAGGTGACTTATTTGCCCTGTGTCTTCTGAAAACTAGAGGGAGCAAATTGGAGCTTTTGAGTCTGTGTGCGAGTGTGTGTGTATGTGTGCGTGTGCAGCCACACACACACACACACGTAGGGAAGGCAAATGATGATGGGTTGTGTCATGAATTCCCAAGCCTAGCGATGCATTTAATGGGTGTGTCCAGGGAAGCGAGAGGAAACTGAGAAACAGGGAGGGCAGGCTTGAGGGATTAGGAGGGAATTATCTGGACTCAGGGAGAGGGGCTCAAAAGATGAATTCAGTCTTTTCAAAAACATTTAAAAAAGTGGTTTGCCTGACTCCAAATCAGGAAGAGACAGCTGTACCCCATCTCTCCTTCCTCCTAGCCTGTGGGCTCCCTTAGCAAGGGATGAACTATCGAGTAAGAGCTCGCACTCTGGCATCTGGTGGACCTGGCTGGGCCCTGGCTAGGCCCCTCCAATGGCGTCACCATGGGCAGGTTGCTAATCCCCCTGGCCTCAGCTACTCCTCCGTCAAAAAGGATGATGATGCCTCCCTCATAGAACTGTGGTGAAATTGAGATGAAATACAAGTGTTTACGGCAGGGCCTGGCATACAGTGAGTACGCGCGTGGTAGCCAGTAGTAGCACTATTATTTTTGTGGATTACCTGAGAAACCTAAACCATCATTGGTGATATAATTTCTATTACCAGTTTCAAATAGTTAAATAACAAAGAATCCCATTTTAATCAAGAGATTACAGTAGAGCACAGACCCAACTGGGGTGGGTACTTAGTAGGGAGAAATAGAGGCTAGAAATGAAGACGTGTGCTCCTTACCAGTGAAGAGATATTTTTGCACCGTGACCAGTTTAGTACGAATAAACCTGTTTATAGGCTGTGTCTTTTCTCCATGCACAATATATTGAGGTATTTCCTCACTTTAACAAATAATAATCGAACATTTAGGATTCCCAGCCCTGAGAAGATCCAGTGAGGTACAAACCGGAAAGGTCCCTGGCCCTCAGGCAGCTAAGTATCTAGAGGGGAGAAGACCAAATAGCACACATGGGTCTGGCAGTAAATTAAACAATTACAGGTGGTGAGAGCTGGGAAACAAGCTTAGGACAGAGATTGACCGGGAGGGACCCGTGTTGGATTGGTGATCCAGGAAGGTGACATTCAAGTACAAATGGAGAAGGTGAGGAAGAGCCAGGGGTCGGGAGAAGTGTGGGAAGGGGGCTGGCTTGGGGGGGGCATGCTCCAGGTAGGGACGTCGTGTGCACCAAGACATGCAGCCCAGGAAGACTTTGGTGCATTCCAGGAATGAAGGCAGGCCTGTGTGGCCAAGGCGGGGAGAGACTGGCACGAGGCGTGAGAAGCAGGCCCAGGTCAGATCAGGTGGGGAGTGAGGGCCGCTGCCAGGGCATCGGAGAAGCTGTTGAGAGGCCCTGACAATCCGATGTGGAGAAAGTCCATTCTTAGTGCATGTTTCCTGCTTTGACCCTTTTCTATTCAATAATGAAGACATGGGTACT